CGGCAGCGGAGAACCATTTGCCAATCGCGTATTAGTTAGTCATTTTCTGAACGACATTGTGTGGTGAACATCTGCTAAGCTAAGGGGGTAAGACGCTAAGTTCAACACTAAAATTCAATTCTTTTAATGCAATTAATATTTTTGTGTAACTGTCATAATCGAATCATTTGTATTTTCCGTATTTTTTATATTGTTATTCTATTGTGTTCATATCGTGTCGATTCTAACGACCATCACTGATACAGGTGTTGATCGGCGGATTCTTTCTTCAGCCCGACTTTCTTCAATCAATAAATAACGGAAACTTGAGATTCTTCACTCCACCCTACTCGAGATACTATTACATCAATCAATTAAGGAAGAAGGACGGATAAAATCTTATTCAATTCCACCACAATTCAGAAAAACCTAACCCTCCTCCAAAGTGCCATTGTCAGTACCGTCTACCGTTGTCCGTTAGTACCATCTGACGTCAGTACCGTCTGCCGTTAGTACCATCTGCCGTCAGTACCATCTGACATCAGTACCATCTGACGTCACTACCATCTGACGTCAGTACCGTCTGCCGTTAGTATCGTCTGACGTCTGTACCGTCTACGGTTAGTACCATCTGACATCAGTACCATCTACCGTCAGTACCATTTGACGTCCATCGTCAATGCTCTGGCATGACAAGGATGGGATGACCAGAGCACCAGTAACGGTATTGAACATGAATGCGAAACTGGTGAACTCTTGAGAGGCGTAGGTGATAAGTGCCTGAGTGAAGGTGAAGAATATAATGCCTTTGTAGTTGACTATACGAAATTCAATTTTTTTGCAATTTATATTATTAACCTGACGATAACAATTAACGGGAATGATAAACTCGAAGACACAAATTAACGGTATGATTTACCTTATCATTTTCGTCAGCCCCGCTAATGCAGCTAAGCTACATCAGTGATGATCAGTCATCGCTGATATGGTCGCCCATGACTCAGCAGCGCTGCTTCTTACACCACTATTGCTCTAGTGGCCACGTTAGGTGCCGGTGTCTGCTCCGCCTGTTCCTTCAATTGCCGAAATATTTCTTTCTATGTAGACAATTCTGAGCTAATTAAGAGGTAAGGCTGACTTAAGACTTATTAACTCATAAAAAGTATGATTCTCGCTTGTACTGCTGAGTAGCTCAGTCAAAATGGCTTAACACGTTCATCTTATGTGTCATACTAGTTTGGTTTAGTCAGGAGGATATCTTCTAGTTACAACATCCAAGTGGTGTACGGCGTTATGAGATGTAATGAATTGAGTGATTGTTATTATAACAAATATAATTTCGTGATGTGAAGAAACATGGATGTGAAGAGATGATGTTGCTATGTTTACGCCTCCATGTTAGATCTGCTGCAGCCACAACCGCGATGCCCGTTCAAGGTCACGTCTCGTTCACGTACAAACTTCCTCGTTATATTCAATGACGAAGAACTTATCGACTCTGATTAATTTGAGCATCTATTTTGTATTCAAATATCATTGCGAGAGGAGGCAACTTACAAGACGTGATCTGCTTCAATCAAGAATTTCTAAACCAATGTTATCACTTATCAAGTTGAGCGTTATCAGTTCGTACTCTATTGTCTGACCTACCCCATTGTCTGCTAACTAGTCGCGTCGACCAAATCAAGAGAAATATAAATATATTTAATAAATACATAATTATGTAAAAAAATTATTTTTCATTTCTTACTTTAGGTTTATAATACTGAGTACTTTGCTAGCGTTCTATCCCGTATCATCAAACTCATGCGCGTAAAATGTTTGTGGTAGCTCGGTGATGCGAGTGGGAGGTTTGGGGCCAGAAATTCAATCGAATCACGAGTGTTGGAATTAATTTTTCAAATTTGAATTTCATATAAATTGACCTCAATTGTAATGCAAGTAAATCAATGTATTTAAATTTATATCGTTTTATAATACAACACTTGGAAAGCGATGCAGGTACGATTCAAACATCGTGACGACACTACAGCGGTTTGTGAAAACCTGACGCCAGACGAAATAAAAAGTGAGCCGGTAGCAGACTATTGCAATGTAAACAGGAAGCAAATGACTAATGTTGTGTCCGCAGGTAGCAAGTGATAAAGTTTAAGTCGGTGTGTTGCAAATGATAGAATTTACAACGTATTGCGTGAACTGTCAATCTTTCAAATGTTGAATGTTCGCGACGTGCGAGTTCGTAATATTCTGAAGTCTTGATATATGAGGTTCACGATGTTCCATGTTCATGATGTTTGGCTTTAATTATATTATCTGATTACAATGTTCTGTGATCACGATGTTCTATGTTTGTGATTTAAAAGGTTATGAGCTCAGCTACCTTATCTCGCTTATCACGGCGCCATCGTGGGCGGCCAAAACTGCAAGCCACATTGGCCACTCACTAGTTCGAAGTTTGCTTGAATTTCTTCAGTGTGCAGAACTTAAATGAGTATGAATAATTGGAGAGCATAAATTATATGTGAAAATTTAGCTTGATCCCCTAATATATTGTAGACAATTCTCCCAACCATCTAACGCCCAGATGATGAATCATCGTGGACGGATCCAAGCAAAAAATCAATCGAAAATGGGTTTATGTAAAATTTCACATGGAGTGAAGAACGTTCATCGAATTTTACTTAAAGACGCCGTATACAAAATTTGGGGTAAAAAAAGGTACAGTTATGCAGTTTAGGGCATTATATCTCCCGCAGCGGCAACTGGCCGGCCGCCCCCGCCACCCCACCAGGCGCACCGCGCCAGTTGCCGCTGCAACGCCGCATGGTAGAATTAGGAGAGAGGAGTCGCCGTCTCGCCGATCTCTTTGGGAGCAACGGTCACGTGCGAAATGATGGTTTCAGTTTGCCAACTTGGTAAGGAGGCACTGGCTAGTATTTTCCATGTTTTAAACTTATTTTGTCGTCCTATACCACTCAGGTGTAACGAGACGTTCAAATTATTGTTCCGTGTCATCGGCCAATGGTATTTGGGTTTAGAATGGCGAATCGCTATGCGTAATCCTTTTAGAGGCTGAGCACTTAACTTAAGCGTCGTAGGGTAGAATTTGAAAGCTGAATATGTAAACCGGCATTAGCACGGAGATTATGGATTTATCGAATCGAGTTGTATGTGTGTGTGCTATCTTAATGAAGATGAAGGCTAGGGTGATAGCAGAGTGAAATATTTATTTCATTGGAAGGGCCTAGCAATTCCGAATAGGTATGGTTTTTTTTTGAAGGACTAACTTCTGGCACTGAGAGATCGTCCAACCAATTACTCCCACTGTCCCACAGGCCCCGTTTCTAACCATTTTTGTGCCTGTTATTCCACTGTGAATTTATAGGCGATGAAACGTTGGATCGACGAAGAATAAGGCCGATGAAAGTGACCAAGTCCTTCATATTTTTGGGGGGGTTACGATAAATTTATCTGAATCACGAAAATTGAAAGACTCAAACGGTTTTATGAAATGATCTCAATTCAAACCTTAACGCAGTATTCGATCTTATTAGTTATTCGTAATTTCCCGGCTAAGCAAGAATTTTTCCGAAGTCGCTCCTTTAACGACGATGTTTGTCACGTTGAACGTTGCGTCAGTCTTTGCTCTGTTCACGGGCTAAAACGAACAGGATTAGCGGAATGAAGTGTATCGTGGATTGGATCGCGTACCCCCTCAGGGGGGACTTCTGACGCGTGTCTGTGCGCGTCAGAAGTCCTATGGGATTTCGCGTTCCTAGGGGGATTGTTCCTGAGCGCCCCACCGCTGAGCTCGCGGTGTCTGACTGCAGATCTCAGTTGTGAGGTTAAGTTATTAGGTAGGTAGGATTCCTTACATTTCCCTTCTCTGTCTCTCTCGTGCGGGCGGCCGACGTCCCGTGTAAGCGACCTCTTGTTCGAGTGCCTTCGTTTCTGTTGCTTTTCACCTGTCCCTCCTTGTCACTTCGTCTCTTTGAGATGCTAACGCTGTTTCCTTTGAGCCAGCTTCAGCGGGATGGACAATTGAGACCTTCCGCCCCTTGTGGGTGATGAATAATTGAGACCTTCCACCTCTATGGTGATGTTCATCTTGACTTTCGGTGCGAGATAGCTAAATAGCTGAAGCGCTAGTAAACATATGGCCACTAAACTAACTGGATCGCGTACCGCGGTCATGACGGATGACTGCAGCTACCCCTTGTCAATAACGTCGGATCAACGCATCGGTATTGCTAATCTTTTGTTTGGAGACATTTTAGGAAATTAGGTGTACGTTTAAAGACGAGTTTTTATCGAAAACTTCTGAAGTGAAGTTAACACTTATTAAGTAAGGCACTGCTCGAGAAAGTCGCTGTAAGAGTAATACCGTAGTGCGTAGTCAATTGTGGCGCTGCTGCTAGCAGAGCACAAATGGGCTCTTTGACGTTCCTACCCTGACATTCTACATTATGACGAATCAATCTGATTTCATTATCATGCATCGTTTTTTTCATCGTAATTGGACGGCGTGAGTTTTCGTGACTGTCTCCGCGGAAGTACGTAATTTATGCATTTTTTTAATGTTGCCTGTTGGTGTCGCTTCATCATGGTAACTGTAAAATAGCGTGACGAAATAGGCCATACATACAACATAGAAATATTTCGTATTATTTTCCGTCGAGCAAAATACTATAAAGAAATACTTTGTAGTAATACAAAGCATTACTACAAAAAATTCAATTCTCAAAATACTACAATTCACAAATTCTCGAAATACTACAAAGTAATTCTTTATAGTATTTTGCTCGACGGAAAATACCACGAAATATTTCTATGTTGTATGTATAGCCTATTTTTTGTAGTACCTTATATGGCTTGAAATTTAGGTATAGTGGCCGTTCTCAAAGGAGTAAGTGTGAGTGTGCTTCTACTGAAGAAATTATGCGATATGATGTTACTCACGAGTCATGACCGTCTCGACTGAAATGTTTCCTGAGCCTAACGCTGGTTGGTTGCCTTGGCAGATATGTGGTGGTTTGTGGTGACGGTGCTGGTGGTGCTGTTGACAGCGTTGATATTGCACGCGTGGAGGAAACAACATTACTGGTAGAGGAGAGGAGTACCCGTGCTGCCCTACCTGCCTCTGGTTGGACATTCCATGTACAACATGAACGTGCTCAAACCTCGACACCTTTGGAGGGATGAGGTCAGTACGAGAAGGAATTCTTTCTACAAAAGAAACTTTTTATTTATAGGGTAAGAATAACGTATTGAAAAGTAGCTCGCCTGTCTGTAGAGTAGTAACAGAATAAATCTACCCTTGCTTGACGCAACCCCCCCCATGCCGCCCCGTCCTTGACGTGGGGGGAGTGCTTGCGAAATGCAATGACGGCTGGGGCTGTGTTGTCGGGGTTCCCTGGTAGATTCAATCATGACAAATTGGCCCAGCCCGAGTGTTCAGACTAACGGGGGTGGCACGGGGACCTGGTGGGGGGCGGCAGCTTAGGCTGCTGTGGCCCGCCGTGTCCTCGGAACATGGGGAAGGCTACCCCATGACCCCGTCGGGGTAAAACAAACCAGGCCCGGGTAGTTATGGGTTAAAAGGCTCTTTGTATTCTCGAGGTAACATTTAAGGGCCGCCTCGGACTCGGGTTGTCGGTGGGAGGGGTATTTACCTCTATTGATTGGTGTTCGCCCGCCTAACAGCGGAGATGCTGCAGTAGGATACTGATCCCCCGGGGGTCCTGCTTCCGGTTTGAGCCAGCCTGGATTGGGGGAGGGAGACCTCCCCTGAAAGGAGTACCTAAAGCCATGCGCTTGCCACTCTAAAAAACCCTCATTCATCATTCAGCCCATACTTCGTTGACTACCGGAACATCCCCTGTGACTCCAGTGATGGACGACGACGGTCTTTCGGTGATCACGACACTGGAGCCGTTTAGCCCGCGCCCTCAGGCCTCTGGCAGGGCCGGGCAAAATAAGAATTCTAAACGAGGAACATGGAGGCACACGCAGCCAACCCTAGAAGCCCGCAACCGAGATTACCCTCACTTCTTTCGCGTCTCGTCGACGACGGGTGAGAGCCTAGCTGCCATTGACGTAGTTCTGGCTAACCGGCAACTTGTCCTCTCTTCGGGCAGTGAGCCGAAAAATGTGCACGAGACCCGCGACGGAGCCCTCATTGTGGAAGTACAAAGCAAAGCTCAGAGTGAATCCAGACTAAACATAAAGTCATTACTCATTAGCAGCTGTTTCTGTCACCGTCAAACCGCACGGTGCAATGAATGAAACAAAAGGAGCCATCTACTACCGAAATGAGCCTAAATATCCAGTCGAAAAACTACAAGAGCATCTCAGCCACTATAACATTAAATCAATCTACCAAATGAAGAAGTTGCATGGTGGTCCCGTTATATGTCTTTACATTCGCAACATGCAAGCTCCCAACAGAGGTGAAGATCGGGTGGCACTGCTGTGCTGTAAGAGAGTACATCCCTCGTCCACGCCGATGCTATAAGTGCCAGCGCTTCAACCATGGTGCTAAAACATGCCGAGCGACCACCGCTATATGCGTCAGATGCTCCGAAGATGCACATGAGTTGCCGTGTCTGCGACCGGCTAGATGCCCTAATTGTGGAGATCCCCATAAAGCATCTTCACCTGACTGCTATCACTACAAACTTGAACAGGAAACTCTATCAATCCAAGTGAAACAAAAACTAATGTATAGAGACGCAAAGCGTCAAGCGAGTGCCTTTGTCCCACGACCGGGCACCACCTACGCATCTATACTCCGTAAGAACCGTGGCCCTGATCGCGTGCTGGAGCCACGACGGACAACAGAAGAAAGTCGTGATGATGCCGCAACCACCTCATCACTGGAGCCAGAACGTGTGACACCAGCTGGTGGAGCACAGGAGTTCGGGCGCCCCGTCGATCATCGTCTGGCAATGCCAGACGCCCGCGAGAACGATCCAAGTCAATTGAAAGTACGGCCAAACGGCTTGAGGCTTCGTCCTCTTCCGTGCTTAGACTATCCCATGCCACCAAATGTACCTACCTTCCTACCTCCACCGATGTCGAAACTGAACGGTATACCCGTATCCTCGGTACGGTTCCTTAGCGGATCCCCACGACCAGAGCCACCAGACATCCCGAGGGACAAACGCAATCCAGAACCCTAGCGGTGAAATGTCAATATTGCAGTGGAATTGTCGCGATACCGAGCCAACTCAAGTGAAGTTCTGTCATTGCTCGCTAACCTCGGGCCGGCATACGCGGGCCTGCAGGAGAGCATGCTGGGGCAATTCATGCCTCGTTCCCCATCTGCATATAGTGTCATCACCTACTCGCAAGCTGCTCAGGGCACTCCATGCGATGTCCTGATGTGTTTCATTAGCAACAACCGAGCTCTTCAGCGCATAGCCATCCAAACTCCACTCCAAGCAGTTGCAATACGCATCCAGCTCCACAGGCTACTCACAATCTATAATATTTATGTTCCTCCCAAATTCCCCCTTCTTGTTTATGACCTAGTGCAGCTTAGCCGCCAACTTCCGCCTCCATATCTAATCATCGGAGATTTCAACGCTAGAAACCCATTATGGGATGATACAACTTATAACCAGCATGGAGATCTCGTGGAGCAGTTCTTGATGAAGGCTGACCTCTGTCTCCTCAATACAGGGGCCGGGACGCGATTCTGCTCCCAATCGGGGGAATCGTCGGTTTTGGACTTGTCCCTCTGCTCCCCCGATATCGTGCTGGATTTAGGCTGGCGAGTTATGGATGATCTATATATGGTAGTGACCATTTCCCGATCATCATTGGACATTGCTATACTTCCATGCCCTTCTGTGCATCGAACCCCGAGGTACCTGTACGGCAAAGCTGACTGGGGGGTCTTCCGACGGCTCACACAGGTCCCCTCTGACAACAACCAAATCTGCAACCTTCCCATTGCCCAGATGATCGAAAAGTTAGCATCCCTGATTCGAGCAGCAGCTAACTGCGCGATATCCAAAACACGAGGCACCCGAAACCGGCCAAATCCATGGTGGACGCCCGCCTGCACGCAAGCGAATCTAGAAAGAAAACGAGCACTTCGCCGCTTTCAACGATCCGGCCTGGTTGCCGACGAAATTGCATACAGCCTAGCTCGGGCAGTGGCGCGGAGGGTAAAGAAAGACGCTCGCTCTGAGTCATGGCGGCGATATGTATAGGGAATTAATGCGGATTCGCCCCCATCGAACGTGTGGAACTGAATCAAGAAGATGACTGGGCGTTACAGCACACAACCATCCCCGTTTCCTATGTACAATGGAGAACCCGTCACTGAACCCCGCGCTTGTGCTGAACTCCTCGCCGATCCCTTCGCTTCGGTGAGTAGCCGGCAACGTCATACGCCAGCATTTCGCCGGCATCGCGACAGAATGGAGGCCTGCCCCCTGGATTTTTCATCAAATGATTCCCAGCCTTATAACGGACCCATCACCTTGATTGAAGTTAAAGGCATGCTGTAATGCTTCCACCCGACAGCCCCTGGAGCCGACCAGGTCACCTATCACATGATTCAACACTTGCATGAAACAAGCCTAGAGTGGCTTCTCCATATCTATAATAGAATCTGGATGGACCACTTGTTTCCTGATGCGTGGCGGCAGGCCGTGACTCTCGCATTCCTGAAACCAGGAAAACCAGCATCGTAGACGTCCAGCTATAGACCGATCTCCCTTACAAGCTGCCTATGTAAGCTTTTGGAACGCATCGTCAAAGTGAGACTGACGAACTGTTTGTAACCTGAAGAGCAACTGTCACCGCAGCAGTTTGGTTTCCGCTGAGCTCGCTCAACCACAGATGCCCTGGTTCGCCTCACAACTGATGTCTTCTCCGCGTATCGAGAAAAGCAGCACCTTGTCGGTGTGTTTTTCGACTTGGAAAAAGCCGACGACACTACCTGGATCTTCGGTATTCTTCGCGCCATGCGCGAGTGTGGCATTCGTGGACAAATGGCCTTCTTTATATTGAATTTCCTATGTCAAGGTCGCTTCACTACTCGCCTCACTGATGTCTCATCTGAAGAACGCCTACAGGAAGAGGGTGTACCGCAGGGCTCTGTGCTGAGTTGTACACTCTTCGCTCTTGCCATCAATAACATCCTTCGTCAGCTCCCTGGAACTGGGAGAGGCTCGCTTTATGTCGACGACCTTGTCATATACGCGTCATCGGCCTACCTTCCCGGCCTAGAGCGCCGCCTGCAGGTCGCGATTAATGCCCTCTGCAAGTGGTGCACTGAAAACGGCTTCGCCTTCTCACCAACGAAACCTGTAGCAATCAACTTCCACCGTACCCGCTATGCTGCTGAGCCTGGCCTGTATCTTGAAAACCACCCGATCTCATTTGTGCAATTGACCCGATTCCTCGGCTTGATCTTGGATACCCGTCTCAGCTGGGTACCACACATCCGGCAGCTCGAGCAGACTTGCACCCGTACCCTCTCTGTTCTGAGATGCCTCTCCCATCTTACCTGGGGAGCCGACCGGTGCACCTTGTTTCGAGTATACCGCTCGCCGATTCGGTCTAAGATGGACTACGGCTCAATCGTCTTCTCCTCTGCAAAACCTTCAGCTCTTCGTTTGCTGGACCCTGTCCACAATAGCGCCATCAGACTCTGCACTGGGGCGTTCCTATCATCGCCTGTACTCAGTCTCTACGCAGAGAGCGGAGAACCCCCACTCAACGCAAGAAGAGACCTCCTTATGATGCAGTATCTTGCAAGGGCCCAACAGCTACCAAACTCCCCTCCTACCTGAGCATTATCCAGCAATGGCCCACGACTGCCCGCCGGGTGTGAGTCTTTTCGCCTCTCTAGCTCGCGAGACCTGTGCCCGCCTACACCTTACGGTGCAGACTACACCCATTAGCTTCTGAAACACTCCTCGCTGGCTGCTCTCCCTCTCTGTGGTCTGCCCTGGCTTCATTCATGTCAGGAAAAGTGACCACTCAACTGATTGCATAAAATCTGTTTCTCGACCACGTAAATATATGCCATAGACAGTGCATGCACATAAACACCGATGGCTCTAAAGAGGTTGGTAGAGTGGGATGCGCCGCGGTAAGCGATGCTGCGAGGAGCTGCATGGCTACTCGCCAATATTTACGGCAGAGCTGTACGGCATCCTATGTGCCATCGCTATTGCCAAGAAGAGCACTGACATAGAGATGTGTATTTTCAGCGACTCCATGAGTGCAATCCAAGCGATCCTACATTACAACTCGCCGCATCCGTTGGTAACCACCATACACAGATGGCTGATCCGACTCTGCACGCCAGAAGACAGTTACCTTCTGTTGGGTCCCCGGTCATGCTCGGGTGGCAGGCAACGAAGCCGCGGACGAACTCTTAATGCAGTGCGGCGGCTGGAGAGACGCCGCACTGGAATGAAAGTGTTCCCCATCGAGACCATTAACCCATCTTTCGCAAGAAACTGCTGGACGAGTGGCAAGAAGAGTGGACACACCTTGAAAATAACAAACTGCAAAATTAAAGAGGACGTAAGGCCTTGGCCATCATCGTCCCACCGCGTACGCCGGGTGGAGGTATGCCTCACTCGTCTCCGCATTGGACACTCAAGAATCACTCATGGCCATCTCAGGGAACGCGCACCTGCCCCTTACTGCATGGACTGCTTAGTGCCCCAGACCGTAATCCACTTCCTCTGTAAATGTCCGTCTTATGGTGATGCCAGGCGGCAATTTTTCCCTTACCTATGCCAAGACAACCCCGACACAAACCTAAAAAGTATTTTGGCCCAGCCAGAGCGAGGGAACTGTAATGTTGACCGACTCGTAGAGTACTTGAGGGCAATCAATGCATTTAACTACATATGATTCGCTCAACACCAAATACAAGTGACGTAATCTACCCCTAGCCAGTAATGTCCGATGTGACTTTCGGCGCGAGATAGCTCGACCTGAAGCGCTAGCAACTACGGCCACTTAACTAACTAACTAACTTGCTTGACGCAATATAATTCAATATATTTAGCTGTCTTGCGTTGACAGCTTACGAGAAATTTTATGTTACGAGGAATGGAGCTTGTAATGAGTGCATTATTAGTTATTACTACGAAGTCTTCTTGAAATTGAATGACATTCAACGTCTGATTCGACGTTCCAAATGAGGTTCAAGCCGAATATTCAGGAGCTTCTTACAATTGGGTGTTTTTTTGTATCTTTTATATTTATTAATGAGGGAGGTGCATTCACCGGACATCAATTATGGGACTAATAGTTAGCACATTTATGAGACTTAACATGTCTTTAATTTCCAGGAATACCTCAAGTCTCGCGGAGAAAGATACGTCGGACTTTACGATTACCTCACCCCTTCCTTATCCATACAAGACCCTCAACTTATCGTCTCGATATGCATTAAGGATTTTGACCACTTCGTTGACCGCCGCACCATTGACCTGACAGGCACAGATTCTGAGGTGATGAACGACATTCTCACCAACGCAACAGGTAATCACTGGAAGCACATCCGAAACCAGCTCACCCCCACTTTCACCTCGGGCAAGATGAAGGATATGTTCCACCTCGTCCAGGAACAATCAACTACGTTGATGAGCAGCTTGAGACAGCGCAGAGATGTGAATTTTCTTGTGGACGTCAAAGAAAGCTTCAACAGCTTCACCATGGATGTAATAGCTTGTTGCGCGTTTGGTCTGGAGACGAATACGTTGCGTGGCGAAAACAAGGAGTTCATAGAAAAAGCTGCAAATTTGTCCAAGCTTACATTTAAGGCAATGGTAAAGTTCTTCTCGTTCCTGCTATTCCCAAAACTGGTTAAGTTTTTGCGAATTAGTTTGGCATCTCCTTCCTTGATTTATATGGAAAAAGTGGTTCGGGATACAATGGCTGCCAGGAGAAATGGAGTTCGCCGAGGTGACTTTTTGGACCTGCTGCTGGATGCCAGGGAGTCGACGAAGGAACATGAGGGCGAGGTCGATCCTAATGGGATGAAAAGTACGTGACTGGTTGGAATTATATATTGGCGCCTTATTGCAACCCGATTTTTCATCAGTTAAGCTTCGTTTTAGCAACGAAAGGTCGGAAGTGCAATTTTTGGCTTTGATTCGATGGCTTCAAAGAATAGTATTATCTAACAGCGTGTGTTATTTAGTAAAAATCAACAACAAAAATTCTATTGACATTAGAAGAAGATATATTTACAAAGTACCCTTTTGGGTAATACAGACAATCACTACAAATAAGTCCTATATTACAGAAGGTCCGTTGAAAGCATAATTAAATGGGCAGAGATTGGTTTGGTGCATTTCTGAAGCACTCGAACAAATATGGCACGTTATTGAAGTTATGACATTAGGCTGCACAATACAAAAGTGCCCTTACCATCGGTTTCATGTAACAGAAAGTGAGGTGCCATCCGGATGCAAGTGACAATAAATAAGCGACAATAGAAAGTGAGCTGACATTCTCTTTTACTCGCAGAAGGCGGATTGAAGGACTCGACCATCGTGGCGCAGTGCATCCTCTTCATCCTGGCGGGCTACGACACCACAGCCAACACCCTCTGCTTCGCCGCAGCGCTCCTCGCCCGCAACCCTCAATGTCAGGCTCGTCTCAGAGCGGAGGTCGCAGCCAGAATTGAGGATAACGAGGGCGGCAAACTCACCTACCAGGACGTCATGGAGTGCAAGTACCTCGACGCTGTACTTAGTGGTGAGGGCAAACGGAGAGGTTCCATTTTGAGGTAGTTATAGGCGATCTTTGAGGCGCAATTGAACTTGGATTGAAGATATCTCAAGATGGCGATATAATACTTTTGTAAATGTTAGTTGTGCCCTCATTTGAAATGCCCTAATGTCAGGTTAGGCTATCAGAATGCGTTAAATGTAGGCAGTTTTGGAGTCAGAATGCGTTAAATGTTTGGTGGCCCCTTTTAAATTTTGGAGGCCCTGGCCCTAACGTGAGAAGAGACAGGTGGTCAATGCGACTCACTGGGTTTTAGAGGTTGTCTCCTACAGAGCAAGACCGTTGTTGTTGGAGTGAGGGATATGATCATAGGTTGCTGTAGGTCCGGAGGGTGATGAGGATTGCCGAGTATTTGTGTGTGGCTACATCGTACCTCCTAGCTGTGGACTAGTCGAGAGGAGATAAATATGAGTGAGGGAATTGTAAGGAACTATGTTTGCACTGAACAGTGAAGTACAAAATGGTTAAAAACTGTGTGAAGTTAAAGGACTTCTGAGGACTCGCGTGTTTGAGGCTTAAAATTGTGATTGAGGTATGGGGTAGCAGTAGCTACTACAGAGTTAGCCAACATCTGGAGTTGTATCATAACCAGTGGATCATGTAGTGGTGGAGGTAAGAGGCCCCAATCATGGAGATGAGGAGACATTGGTCGACGCTGCTGCGGTGACATTTCATCGGCAAACAGTGGCTTGCCCGTCGCACTCAGGGTCTGTGTTATCAAGAATAGATAATAAAAGCGCGTACCTCCATCAACCAATTACTGATGGTTAATTAAAATAGATCTACTAATCACAGACTAGAAATCGTCTGATACGCGTACCCTAGCGAGTTTTGATTGAACGGGCTCATGTTGCGAAGGTTAAAAAATAGTGATGGCTCTTGAATGGCTCGATTTATTGCCATGTTTGATTATAGCTATATATGCAGGGCGCAAGAGCCGCTCCTGGTTCTCGACCGCAGGGAATGAGGGGCAAGGCGATAGAACACGCATGGATCTGTGTTTCCTAGGTTGACCGACGAAGTTGATTAGATGATTTTTACACGGACGCAGTGGTGATGATGGAGACGAGAAGGTGGGCGAGGAACTAGAATCCTCGTGTGTAGGTCTAGTGTTTCAGGTGGAATAATTTCAATTTAATTTAAAATTAAATTCAGTTCCACTCGTTAGGTGCATTTGTTCAAGTTTGTTTTAATTATCGTTTGATTACTTTGTATACCTATGTCGATAATCCGAAACCACGTATAAGACAAGCGAAATGTTTACATTCCCCAGTACGCTGCGCAAGCTCAATCAAAGAAAGATGCAAGCTTCATAGTTTACTAAAAATACTAAATGTAAACAATTTTGTATTCACCAAAGTTTGCAAGACGACTTTTCATATACAAAAGTGTGTTTGTATGCCTCAGAAACGCTGCGCATGTATCCTCCGGCTCATCTGTTGGAGAGGACATGCACCAAGGACTACAGGTGATTGGTGATGTGTTTGTGGTGCTTCATTTGTGGTGCCGTGGTGTCCCAAAGATTTGGAGGTCATCAATTTTATAGTCATGACCTCATCGGAGCTACAAATCGTCTTGATATGTCTTCCATAAAAACGGATGGCAGTTAACGTTCGTGGCATCTATAGGCAGGTGGCATGCGTTTGTGACTGTAGTTTAGCTGGTGAGCGGTTGAGCCAAATGCATCCAACTGCCGCCCATATAGAAGCTACACTCGCGTCGGCAACTGTACGTACGCTCAGAGAAATAAGTAAGACTCTTCAAGTAGCGATGCACTTCTTATCCTTGTATGGGTCATCATGACTGTTTTTCACGGCGCCATGGCGTATCAGTGCTACATCAATGTTCTATGCTTATAAGTTGTCTCACCGCCCTGAGGGGCTGTCGCTTGCCATTGCCAGCGTCGACAGGGTTGAGAAATTTCTACCTACGCGTCGTGTCCCAATATCTTTATAGCAGGATCGTTTGTAGCTTCAGAAGTGGTAGGGCTTTTGTGTTTACTTTACAGTGTTTTTGTATTTATTGTATTACCACAAGCAGCTCATCTTCCACAGTAGTGATGTTAATTAAACGTTGTATCCTGGGATGCACTAGACACGAATTTACTTTGTGTTGGGCTTCTTGAAGTTTTAATTCGGGTGCTGCCATATCTGCGTAAATTTCTGTTCATCCGATTATTGTACAAGCCGTTGCTTCTATTGTCATGCGCAATGACTGCATTGCCACATGAATGAATAAACTTATGCTGGATCTCAGTTTAGGAGACGGGATGTACGATAGAGTTTTTCAGTGTATATTTAAGTAATGAAAACATTTCTACAGCCCAACTTCCATTCGTAACTGACACTGCAGCTCACACTCGTCTTGGGAGATTTCACGACCACGTGGATTTGAAATCCACGACCTTGATTGAGACGCAAATTTTATTATTTCATCAACGTTATCCAAGTGCAAATTTTATTTGTATCACGGCGTGCCTTTCGGAGCAAAGCATTTAAAATATATTGCGGCTGAATCAATGTTGTATTTTGTAATATTATTAATATTCAGTATTTTCTTTATAAGTATGAAAGTGAATTGTTATTGATTTTAACCAAAATTATAAGTAATGCTTTCGCTACAGCGTGCCCGACTCGGACGTGAAGATCACGCAGGGCATGTTCGTGACCGTGCCCGTGTACTCTCTGCACCGCGACGAGCGCTACTTCCCCGACCCCGACACCTTCCTACCCGACCGCTTTATGCCCGCTACTAAGAACGACATCCCGTCGGGGGTGTACCTTCCCTTCGGGGCTGGCCCCCGTATGTGCATCGGTGAGTCCACTATTGAGTGACCACGCTTCGTTCTACTTACAAATCATCTTAAGATAGTTTTTAAATATTTTTCTGTATTGTAGCTCTCTGTTTATGGAGTAACAAGCCAATTCCATGACCTCGACCTGCCGGACGCGTGTGCAACTGCTCATTATTTATCATGGTTTCAATTTCTTCTAATTTCAACATCTATTCATCACAAAAATCTACCTTTTTATTCATATTATGAACATCATGCTTAACACAATGTTGCGGGAGAGCTATCAACATATACAGGCTATCGCAGTCTATTTCAGACTCGATAGTGAGGAACCTTAAACATTAGGTAAAGTAACGAAAGAAATTTCAAAAACTGGTTCTTGAAGTTTTATTACACGAGCCACTCTTACGCTGTTATAAAAAACCAGTGAAACTAAAACCTAAATATACAACAGTACCCATATAACCCATCTACTCTACAATGCACATATATAAGTTAGAACTCTCCTAAAACCACGAGGAACAACCCTGACAAGGATTCGGAAGGCCCACACATACAAACACCAACAGCCTAACTACACGAATTGGCAGTCGTGACCGCTGTGACACCTTGGGGTCTTCAAACTCTCTGATGGATGCTGGAACTCCGATCACTTGGATGCCTCCTTGGAATTTCCAAAACACGCGGCTTAGGGGCACCAGTTTCAAATATACAGGGTTTTATTTTCTGCCGCCGATGATTGGTAGCAAATCAATGACAAGCAGATCGCTTCATTGGCGTCTGAACTCTCCAAAAGAAGATGTAGCTCATGCAGGTAGGGTTCTTAGGCGCAGTACTCCACAGGCGCTGCCGGGTCACCAAAACGTATAAAGCGCCGCAGGTATCGATTGTTGTCTTCCCCGCTGTGTTTCAAAAATCGCTTCAACAGAAGATAGATACCAAGAAGATAGATACCCACACCACCTGTAATAATTCAATACACGAAATGAGCAAAACTCACTAAGACAACCTAAACACGATTAAAGAATAGGTTTAGACATATTCGGTTAACCAATTCGAACACGACTGTTTCACACGAACACTATAGGCATCCGAAACCATAGGCAGCGTAAAGGGAGACTCACAGTCCTTAGCCTTACCCGCCACTCAAAACCGGAAACACCAACTCTGACGACGACAGAACGGGACAACCACTCTGCTACGCGGTCCGGTTACAAAAGAAAAACCCGTACTAAATCGGACCCAGTCCGCAAGTAATCAGCGGATCACTGGTTTAGACAAATGACTGCGGAACTGCGCAGCTACAACGAAGTATAGCATCAAATCGCACACGTCTACACATTGTTTTCAACATTTATTTGATGATCGTTAAATAGCCATTTCCTGCGGACAAACGCTAAAAGAATCACTATTTCTGTGATAGCAAAGTCATAAGATTCACGATGCTGGCTCATTCTTGTATCTCATCTCTGAATGGTTAATCTCATGTAAACTTGAGTACGGATAAGAATGTCAGCTGGCTTGTCGAAATGCCTTTGAATTGTTTTATTCTATATTTTGTCTCAAGTTTTTGATATATTCAAATAAGTTTTCGTTCATCTTGCACTTTTCAGCGGAACGCTTCGCTCGCATGGAGGCACGACTCGCACTCGCTGACCTCATCATGAACTTTCACCTCTCAGTCGAGCCGGGGTCAGAGGAGCTCAAAGTTGCTAAGTCGTTTGGCATCCTGCGACCTGATCCTGCCAGCCTGAACCTCATCTTGAGAGACGCGGCATCCAGCGCGGCCGGTGCCACAGACGCTGCCTCGGGTGCCACAGGCGCTGCCTAAGAGTTCTACAGGCGCTGCCTAGCATATTCTGAGTTCTACCTAAATTCTTGATTTTCGCCTTCGTGTTTTGATGTTGCGTCCAGTAAATGTTAGTAACCAAGTCTGAAATACATTTGATTCATTATGCCCCACCTCTGATGCGGACTGTCATCCACAGCCAGAGACACGAGTAATGGATTGGCTTTTGTGTTCGTCGAGGCCGCTATATTCGTCATGGGTGAAGTGATTGCTCGGATATATTATTTTGCTTTATTAATTATGATAACATATTAGACCACATAGTATGTGGTACTACAAACTGAGTAGTACCGTGACCTGACGCTGCAGGCTTGCTGCGAGTATCGTGAATCCATGTGTAGCATCCTGCGTATGGGGCCCCGACAGTTCATGAATACTAAGAACGTAACGGTTTATGGTCGTGTCTTTAAGGCCAATAGGTAATTAGATAGGAGCTGCAGTGAGCCCCCGTATCAGTCGTTCCAGACTTCCAGTCGTTTCTGGTATCAGTGGCTGGTTGACGTTCAGTCAAGATGCAGATAAAATTGATTTACGTGTAATTGAAACCCCCCTAACAACTATCGAATTATCTTCTTGTACGGTAATGGTAAATAAAAAGCATGGGACTTAATAGTTCTGTTTTAAAGACGTTCCTCCATAATTCTTAAGGTACGACAATTTCTTCCTTAGCGACCATCACAATTGGATGACGGGCAGACGCTCGATACACGAGCGGCCCGTAGGACCGTTAACTGTACATCTTGTGATTAGTCTACACATGTCTTTGATGTTTAATTAACACATTAATTATTAAGATCTCATGACGACCGTCATTTCAGCGACGTTATTGTTGGCATCACTCGGCAGAATCGCTAATTCCGATCGAGTGCCAAGATTAAGAAGAGATAAGAAAAGTTAGTAAGACGAATAGTGTAGATTACAAGACTAGAAAAAAAGACTGAATAGAGCATGTAGCGCAGGAAAAAAAAGTTTACATTTTCCAAAAAGATATCCGGCATTTCCAAGATTTGCTGTGTGCTTTGACCCAAACGTGTTTAAAAGCGTTTTGTGCTCACCAAACCAAACGCAGGCAGAACGATGAGACGAATCTTATGAACAGCAGAACACGTAAGCTGCCACGACACGCGCACACGCAATAATTTACTTCTATAAAATTAACAGCGGAATACATTCACAGAATTCTTCACAAATTGTTACAAACTTACAGACAAGTACTAAAATCATCCGCAAATTACTATAAAAACTAATTAGGCCTAGTTAATAAATATTCATTTAGATTATTAGTTAATCAATAGAAATGATGCCCACAACGCGCCGCTACTTCACACCACATCACAAGACGCCTCGAGGCGTACAACGCTCCACATACTTACGACGTCGTAAGCTACGATACCGTCAAGTCCTGACAATGAATGGGACTTATGGTGACCGGAGACTTACGACCATCATATTTAGTTTCGAGCATATATCCGCCAGAGAGGTACACGAGCGATCGCATTCTAAGTCCACATATTGGGAGAGCCTTCGCGATCAACATAAAATACGCGCTAATATTCTTACAGCAACACAATAGTATATAAACGAAATAAACATCAATACACACATATTGGCTGTAAAATCATCCCCTAAAGTAGAAATAAATCCTGCCATTGAACCTAGCAATGATCTCCGAGTCATGTTAGCGGACGGTTCAATTTACAACAATTTTTGACCGCGCCTCTAAAGCAGGAGGGTGTCGAGACATGTCATCATGCGGAGATGGAATTCAACTTCAAGTAACAAATGCTAAAATGAAATCTGATAGAAAATTTTCATAGATTTTGATTCACGCAACGATTATTTAGAAAATAAATGACGTGTCGAGAGAAGAATTGTCGTTAACAAAGAGGTACAGGCGGCCCAAGAGCTCCATTAAAAATCTGCCATAAACGCGACACGTTTTAGTGCTGTAAATAAGCCTATGAAGTGCAAGTACAGATAACTTTTTCATAAAAAAACATACGCGTTGCGTCGTCCAGCAATAATGAAAATTACGAAGAGGAACACAAATAATAGTAAAAAAAATACAACCATGACGACCGCTCTGTCTGCGCTATGGACAATCGAGGTTTCGCCAGTAAGCCTGCAGCGTGCGACGCATTCACAAGTGAATTTTGATCGAGCTAGGTGAAAACCCAGACGTTTGTGTGATTTGAGAGTTTAGCGCTTATATTAGCGTAATACACGCTTCCTGATTGTCCTTTGCCCACCACAGTCGCCATGTTGTGTTAACCTCATACTTTGTGGAGGCGGGTCCCTCAATTCCCCGGGGAGAAGAAAGCCGCCAACCCGCGAGTCTCGTTTAAGGAATGACATTAGAAGCACCAGACAATATTTGTCAATAAAAACTTATAAGAAAATACGAACACGCAAATGGCTTCCTAAAGACACGATAATTTGGCAGACGGAATGGTGTACCCATTACAAACATGGGCACGGTTACGAAGTGAAATAATTTCCAATGCGCCTGCAGAGACGTCATTTAAATACATTGCTTTAATATGTTGATCAGGAAACGTTCCTTAATTAACACGTGCGAATTACTTACGTTTACAATAGAAACAGACAATACCTTTGTTAACTAATGATACAAAATAACCCCCTATGAGTGAGAAGTTTTTTCTGTAAGTGGTAAAAAGACGCTTACGCTTGTTGGGGTGCTGGAACAGGCGTTGCTGTGTTGGAAAATAGCGTTCGACATGAAATAGCGTTCGACAATGGTCATCTAAAATGTCGAGCAATATAAATAGAACCCTAGCAGCTGCTCTAATATTTTTGTCTTTGATCCATAATTGCTTCGTAGTTTTCAGAAGAAAACAATTTTCTAGTCCAGCTTGCACTATCACAACTTATTATTTCTATTTATGTACAATAGTCCTCTGTCACGACACGGATACGGAGCGCTACGAGCTAGACGAGCGTGACGCCGCAGCACGAGCACCACTACTTCTCGCCACAAATGTCATCACCACAGATACATTGAGGTGTCCCACATCTACGAAATAAGCAATAGTAATACAATAGAAACTGGCTTGTACTTCCCTCGGTACGAGCTGCACACCAACAGATGGAGCTGGCGTCACCAACACTCGCAACATACCTTAACAGCTGCCACCCATGTTGCTCATTGACAAACTCCGACAGCGAATATTTGTGTCACGACATGCAGAGTAGTTATACAACTCTTATAATTTGAAAAACTGTAACGGCAAGTAATTCTTAACTTTAGCGCTATGATATGCTAAGGAGGTACAGTCATGGACACCGACCAGAGGCCGGCATCGCTCCTAGGACGCGAGGCCGCACAAGCAGCATGCATAGCAGACGACTATCTCGTACTCTAGCGTAAACCATCTATCCTCAACAATTGAGCAATTTCATGAAGCTATCAACGAAAAAATTCTCTGGAAATTATTATTACAAGATGCGCTTTCGTATCTTGCTATCTAATTCAGAACATTTGCAGCGCACATATTTATTTAGATTGCTCCTGAGTTCTTTATGTACAGCCTACGACACACGAGGTTGTTTTAAAACAACGGCGCCCGTCACCCTCCGTGCCAGGGGGCGTAAGGACCCGCAACGTGGGCGCTGGGCCTCTGAGGACACCAAGACGGTGTGGGGTGCACGGGAGGAGTGCGAGGTCTCGAAGGGTCGGAGAGTCGGGGTGACATGTGGGAAGGCAAGGGTGACTGGTAGGGTGCGTGGGAGGACATAGCGGTTTGGTGGGAAGGGTGTAGCGGTAGGGGCGAGTGGTGAGGTCCTGGGCTGTAGGGAGGAGTGAGGCCAAACGAGCCCACAGGATACACAGGGTTGTTGTGGTTACTGCCGCTATTGGAGAAGCTGCTGGGGGCACCGCCTGGTAAACTTGAACCGCTCGAAGGACCAGCAACGAGTAACTGCTCACTGCAGGGCTGGATTCGTTGACAGATAAACTCCCCACACTCGAGCTGCTCCCACTAATGCTGCTGGGGCTGAACGGTCGATTGCTGCCCACATATGGGCTACTCTTCAGGAAGTTCGATGACTGGACGTTCATCTCGCTGTGGTAGCCCAGATTTTGGTTCTTAGGGGAGAAGGCATTGGTTGCTTTAGAAATATCGTGACTCAAAGGATGAGGAGAGCTTGGGGAACCTTGAGATTGTGAATGTGGAACTGGCGAAGGCCGTGGTGAGTTGTATGGATGAGGGGACTGGTTGGGGATGGAATGTGGTAGCACACCGTGATGACTTGGAGACTGGTTAGGATGCGAAGATTGTCCTACGCCTGCGTGGTATAAATGTGACGACTGAGAGAACGGTAATTGTCCGCCAGAAATATGTTGTGGACTTGGAGACGGAAGAGGAAGGGATGAAGCAGCAGGGGACTGTTGGGCGTGCGGGGATAGGAGATGAGGTGACGGTTGAGGGTATGGGGATTTTAAAGAGTGAGGAGATAATTGGGATAGTGGCGAAGGATGTGGAGAGAGCTGAGAGCAAGGGCTTTGTAAAGGATGTGGAGAGCACTGCTGAAGATGATGGGAGGGCGAATTGTGAGCGCGAGGAGATAGCAAATGTCTCGGTTGTTGCATTTGATGGCAACCTTGCTGCTTTTCACCGTCGTCCCGTGAGGTAGCTGGGGCAGGGGGCTCGTGTTTGACCCTTTTATTAGCGTTTCCTCCTGTTGTCCAACCATCTCCACTGCTGGTCTTCCCCGTAGCCTCGTCAGCGGACTCCCCAGTCCCCTCCTTGCCGTCAGCCATGTTGGGGAACACGAATCCCTCTTTGATCATCTGCTTCCGTTTCCTCGGGGATGGTTCAATTTTACCCTCTTTAATAAGTCTATCCATTTCAGCCTTTTTCCTTTCCATTCTCGCCTCGAATTCTTGGGCTCCGTGATTACGATAAATAAGATTCTTGTGCTGATAAAAAACTAAACTGATTCTTTTCGGGTCGCGTCTGTCGGGACACTTGAGGGCCGTTGTCGAGTGCAGCTCGTGCTTGGCGCACTCGAAGAGGACGGAGCCGTGAGAGAGAGCGATGGCGACGCCTCCTATTGAGGGGTCAGCAAAGCTGGCCAAGTTGTCGCTATATTTGATTATAGTGGACTGGGGACTGGGAGGGCCGTTTTTCATGCTGCTTCTCGAATGACAGTTGACATTCATGTCGTAGCCTGCAGGGTAATAATTACTTTCTTCGTTATTGCAAGCATTGCGGCGGAAATCGTTAATGCCGCTAATGGGGCTGGAGTGATAATTTTGTTGATAGGCGGTGTTACTGAAGGGGACTTCTCTAGGCGATCTCATGTATGGTTTCTGACAGAGGAAAGGCTTCTGCCCAGGGTCGCTGGAAGGGTCGTAGGCTGGAATGTGTTGAGTTCGAGGATTGCCAGAAGGCAATGCGATGCTCGGATTTGTCATGGTGCAAGCTTTATTTCTCTCGACCATACCAGGCAAGTTGGATAAACCGAAATTGGCTGGCCTTTTTCGGCTTTGTTGCTGTGCGTTAGGCAGCATTTGCCCCACGTTAGGCTTCATTGCCATGGGTTTTGGTTTCAAGTTTTTGCTGGACTCCAAGTCGAAACTTCCTCCTTGTTTAGTCTTCATGATAACGTACTCAATCGTGTTTTGAATTGAGCTAATGGACGAAGATACCAGGTGCTTGGATCGATTGTTTTTGGCAGCGCCTCCTCTACCTCCTCGATTGGGTTTACTGAAGAGGCTGCCGGAAGAGCTTGGCCACTTGCATTCTGCGTCCATTTCTGTACCAGGGACCGTGGCGTATACGTCTATAGGGGTACTTCGTCCCGCCATGAAGTACGCACCAGACGAGGAACTTGAAGCAAAAGAAGAAGCGGGAGAATAAACACTTCGACTTGGATCTTCTGATAACTGAGCATGAGGATTGTACAGAGGCTCCTTGTGAAAATCATTTCGGCTAGGAGATTGAAAGGAAGAATTTCGGCCATTCGCAAAATGGAGACCATTATCTCGAGAGTTTATCAATGACCGGTTCAGTTGGGCTGCAGGGCTGCTGCGAGACCTGGCTGGCGAAGGCATGGTCTGATTACAAGCAGCCAGAGAATCACGCTCTCGTTTATCATCACCTTCTGAGGCGCCGTCAGCTTTGTTCGGAGAAGAGCCATCCATGGATCGCGACGTTGGTCTGGCAAGGGACGACTCTGGATTCTCGTACCCTACGTCCGTGGACCTAAATTCGTAGGTTTCGACAACTCTGCCCTTGATGTCGGTTGAGTGAGGTCTCGGAGGCGTTGCTTTACAAGATGAATCCATTGCAGTGGGCGTCCCGCCACTGCCCTCATCCTGGCTGCTGGGACTGGCGATGCTGTCACAGGGGTCTGCTGGGGTGACAGCGCTGGCACTGTGGCTGCTGCACACGCCACTGTCAGTGTTGGGACTAGCAGAACGGCTCAAATTATTAGTGCATATATTGTCTGGACTTCTGACATAGCCATCACAACCAACAGCATTGCTGCCGTCCACAATTGATTCTGGAGAAGATTTTACGTTGTCTTCAGCCGATAAAATATTTCTAGCTCGAGAACCACTAGCTTCTTCATTGCCAATAAACGTGCCTGGACTGGTTAAATGTTCCGAATTTGCAGCTTTAGGAGCATTTGAATCATTAGAAGATTGTTCAAAGCACTCACTGGGACTGCCATGTTTGGGAAAATCGTTATTTGAAGAAGTCGCAGTATGCGCTAGCTGAGATTCTGGAGTGGTGACGGTCTTACTGCTAGAGCTCGTCGCGGGAAGATTGCTAACAGAAGGGCTTTGTAAAAACTCAGTAGGTCCTAACTTGTGTGTTGAAGTTGGATCAGATGAGACCTTGGAAGACCCTTGGTTAAAAATTGAACCACCAGAATGTGAGATATGAGCTGGGGATGCAAGGGGAGATGGAATGGAGCACGGGGATGTTGGAGTCATTTGAGGAGTTAGGCAGGGGATGGAGAAAGGAGAAGGGCACGAGAGAGGAGATGATGGTAATTTCGGAGCTGGCGATGGCGGGGGCGGCATGCTGTTGTGTGGAGTAGGCGGCATTTCCTCGCCGCTCTCGCAAATGTCTTCGCCACTCTCACTCATAATTTGATTCGCTATCGACGCAAAGTCCATCTTGCCACCTTCGGCCGCGCCTCCAAACAAGTCGAAGCTATCGTTCAGCGTGTTGTCGGAGTCAGTGGCCATATCCGCAGCTCCTATGTCCATCAACCAAGAATAATCCGAGTCGTTGAAGTCCACGCCGTTCATGATGAGGTCCATGTCGGCAGAAGAGGGTGAAAGCGACCTCTTCGAGTCAGAATCTTGTGGACTCTTGGGCGAAAATGGAGCATCCATGTTATCCATGAGTCCAACTCCACGCTTATTGTCAGACTTGGCCAGTTTATGATCGGACTTCTTATCGTCAGCCATGCTGTGGTACATGGCGCCCCTCTTCGCGTCTAAATAAGCTGGGCTAGAGCCTGGCATGACTGCCTTAGGCCGCATAGCTGGGTTGGGGTAGCCGCCTCTCATGTCCACGCCAGGACTCATGGCCATCATGGCAGCGATGGACGGTTCGGAACCGTCAGAATATCCTAGAGAAGAAGATCCTCTCTTGCCTCTGCTCACCCGTCCCCCACGGGAGCCTCTTCCCCTCCTTCCGCGACCTCGGTTGGGGTTGATCCCGCGGGCCAGGAGCGTCCGCGCCCTGCAGGATAACATAGGTTCCCTCCGCAGCCGCAGTTCACACGGGTACCTGCAAGTCAGATTATTATTAAAACAAAGTTGCTTACTTACTATTGTTCATGACAGGTCAAATATTATTGAGGAAGGCTGTCGACTGACACGTTTACCACCATTATTAAATTGACGGTGTTCAAGTGCGATTTAAACCGTTTTATTTGGAAGCTGCATTGCAGGGTGAAAATAATTTCTGCTCAACAAATAAAAAATACAATAATGAATGCAATAAAACAATAAAGTTAATGCAATACAGAATGCAGTAAGATGATAAATGCAATGCAATAAAAAGGTCAATACAGTAATGAAGACAGAAAAACGCACTTGTTGAGTATCTCCAGAGCGCCAGACTGCTTCCTCTTGTCGATCTCTTCCTGCGTCTCGCCGTCCTCAGAGCTGGGCGTCGCGTCGAGCCTGTAGAGCGGCAGCACGTGCAGCTGCTCGTCCTCAGGCTTGCCCAGCCCCCGGTGCTTGGTGAGCGTCACCACGACCGTGCAGCCGTTGTTCATGTTGTGGAAGTCCTTGTGGCTGTGCGCACAGAAGTCCATGCAGGCGGTGACACCCGTCCAGGGGCGCCCAGGGAGCTTGCCGAGCCTGCACTCGAGGCTGTCCTCCTCCATGGCCGTCTGGTTCTTGTAGGACGCGGGCGCCATGCTGCGGTACACGGGCGCCAGGCGGGTGCTGAGGTCTTGGAGTTGGTGCTCCAACTCACACTCCTGTTCAGGACGGGCGTCAGTATAGAACGTTTTAACTCTGATTTAAGCTAATATGTCTACCATTAACTCTTATTTTAAACACGAATAACTAACTCTTAAACTCCACGTCAATTAGCAGCAGCCGCTGCAACTGAAGCAAATGACTTTGCAAGACTAAGTAATGGGCAACATCAGTTTACTATATATATACACAATACAGTATACACACAAGACACAATAGGCACTCAGTGTGCATTAAATTGCCGAAGAATGAACCTAATTTGTAGACATATATGTATATAATAGACACTCGCATAACTCACGTAGCGACTCAGTTCACTCTTCACGTAGGTACTCACTACCAAATCAAGGGTACTAATCCAAGATAAAAGAGAAGGGCGGAACAAAGGTAGTGTGAATAGTGAGAATGAACTACTAACGCTTCTCAGAGTGATAAACAAATATGAATATGAGTACAAAATAGGGTTAATATGGTAACTGTACCTGAGCGTCGTCGGAAAGTTTGAACTTCCTGGTGTGCTTGGACCGCGCAAACTTGCACGTGTTGTAATACATGGACCAGGAACAGCCGAAGCTGAACGATGCACCGCTGCGTTGACTGTCCAAACCTTGGCAGATGCAGGTGCGCTCGTCGTTACTGCCGCACCTGCGCACACAACAGGTTAGTGAGTGGTGAACAACTGCATGCAAAACAGGTTAGTGAGTGGTGAACACCTGGGTACACAACTGGTTAGTGAGTGGTGAACACCTGGGTACACAACAGGTTAGTGAGTGGTGAACAATTGCATGCAAAACAGGTTAGTGAGTGGTAAACACCTGTGCACACAACAGGATAGTGAGTCGTGAGCACCTTCGCTCACAACAGTTTAGTGAGTGGTGAACAGCCGCACAAACAACAGGTTAGTGAGTGGCAAGAATTCGTGTGAGGGCGAGCAAGACCAGGTGAGTTGAGTTGAAACATGTAAGTGAGGTAGGTTGAAAGGGTGTAAAATGGGTGAGACATGTAAGGGTGAGTGAGACGAGGGTGAGTGAGACATGTGAGGGTGAATGAGGCATGTGAGGGTGAGTGAGACATGTGATGGGGAGACATGCGAGGGTGAGACATGTGAGGGTGAGTGAGACATGTGATGGTGAGACATGCGAGGGTGAGACATGTGAGGGTGAGTGAGACCTGTGAGGGTGAGTGAGACATGTGAGGGTGAATGAGACATGTGAGTGTGAGTGAGACATGTGAGGGTGAGTGAGACATGTGAGGGTGAATGAGACATGTGAGTGTGAGTGAGACATGTGATGGTGAGACATGTGATGGTGAGACATGTGATGGTGAGACATGCGAGGGTGAGACAGCCTGGTCCTGTTCACTGTGCAACAGACTGCAAGTGCCTGGTCCTGTTCACTGTGCAACAGACTGCAAGTGCCCGGAGTGTTCACTGTACATTAGGTTGCAGGTGTTCGATTACGTGATGATATGCGGCCTAACCACATGCATACCAGCAATCACTGGCGATGGCCTCGTCTTTACTCATCACTTGAATAATAACTTCGATGAACTCAAACGACTGACATATGAAATTAATTTGAATTCATATAATTAGTTAGACTTGAATTAGTCGCCCACAGACCACCAAAAAACGGCCTACCAGACCTCCAAACAGCATACCAGACCCCCAAACAGCCTATCAGACCTCGAAGCAGCTTACCAGACCCCCAAACAGCCTATCAGACCCCGAAGCAGCCTATTAGACCCCCAAGCAGCTTACCAGACCGCCACACAGGCCCCAGACCCCTTCACACCTGCGTTCCGTAGGGCTGGCGAAGGCGTTGAGCTTGTACACGAGGCTGCTGTAGAGGTTGTCAGCCACGCCCGCGTGGACGCCCTCCCACGCGACCAGCGCCACCACGATCCACGTGGCGGGGCACGAGTGATGCAGACGACGCTTCACCACCGCCAGCACCTTCTCCTCCTCACCACCACGCCGGATGATCTGTAAGGGGAGGGGGCGACGTCAGGAGTTAAAGTGGCAAAGAGGGGAATATTTTAGAGGGAGGCGTCAGTGGCTAAAGCGGCTGAGGAGAGGGAGAGAAATAGAGGGAGAAGTGAAGGGGAGCGTTAGGAGTTATAGCAGGACAGGGGGAGGGGGGGGGAGAGAGGGAGGATGATGACGTCAGGGGTTAAATCAGCTGAGGGAGGGGGGAGGAGAGGAAAGGGAGGGGATCACGTTAGACGTTAGAGTGGCAGAGGGGGGAGGGCCGACGTTAGGAGTTGAAGCGCCTGAGAGGAGGGGGGGGGAAGGATGGGGGGCAACGTTAGAGGTTAAAGCGGCTCGGAGGGTGAGAGGAAGAAGGGGATGGGGGGCGGTGTGCCCCGTGTAAACATGGGGGTGGGGGCCGTGGGGCGGAACTGCCCTGCGGCCGCGTGAGCTATTCTTGAGACGCGGCCGCCACACGAAGATGTTTTTGCTACATGCCACATAATGCTGGCACCCTGCTGGCGTCAGCATATACCTAGTGACAGCACCAGCCTCGTGTCAGCACCAGCCTCGTGTCAGCACCAGCCTAGTGTCAGCACCGGCCTAGTGTCAGCACCAGCCTAGTGTCAGCACCAACATAGTGTCAGCACCAGCCTAGTGACAGCACCAGCCTAGTGCCAGCACCAGCCAAATGGGAACACTGGCAATGCTCATGCTGACATCAGGTCGCTGCTTGCTATGGTCACGCTGCCTTCGTCGTCTACCGTCCTAAAGCTCTTGTGTAATCACAGCACCAAACTAGGCAACGAGTTAGTGCCAGCTGGTAACAACACACTAGCTCCCCATCTGGCGTCAGCACTCACCCATTTCGCCATGGGGCAGCCGGCGTCAGTCTTGCCCTCCCTGCCCGTGTAGACGACTTTCTCCATGCGTATGTGGCGAGCGGCGTAGCCTGTGCTGCAGTGCAGCGCGTGGCGTATGTCGTGCAGCGTACGCCCGCAGCCCAGGTGGCTGTAGACCGGCCCGCAGTCCGGCGTACCTGTGCGCACACACGCTAACTTATTGGGGGCTGTGCGTGTAACGTGTTAGAATGAGCTGTGAACGTGTAACGTGTTAGAATGAGCTGTGAACGTGTAACGTGTTAGAATGAGCTGTAAACGTGTAACGTGTTAGAATGTGCTGTGAACGTATAACGTGTTAGAATGTGCTGTGAACGTGTAACGTGTTAGAATGTGCTGTGAACGTGTAACGTGTTAGAATGAGCTGTGAACGTGTAATATGTTAGTATGAGCTGTGAACGTGTAATATGTTAGTATGAGCTGTGAACGTGTAACGTGTTAGAATGAGCTGTGAACGTGTAATGTGTTAGAATGAGCTGTGAACGTGTAATGTATTAGAATGAGCTGTGAACGTGTAATGTATTAGAATGAGCTGTGAACGTGTAATATGTTAGTATGAGCTGTGAACGTGTAACGTGTTGGAATGCACGTACAGAGTTAAAATGTGATGTACAGACGTACGGTGCTACACGAGAATGTGCACTTGTATTGCACGGCGCGGACATTTGACCGCAGCTGTGCCCTCTGACACATGCACTGCATCACAGCACAAACATTGAATCAAGCACTGAATCAGAACACGAACCAACACTTTGCCTTGCATCTCAGACTAAGCCAAATGAGTTGAAAGTTTCCATTTATGAAATACCTTTAAACTTCGTGCATTGTTGATAGAAAGGTATGAATCTATTCTCCTTAACTTACTACTACTACTCAATAGACCTGTCACATTGTGATTATTTCATGTTTAACTGTCGTTTAGTTGCCAAATTAGGTATTAATGTCTGCTTGTGATTTTTGGTTACTCGATTTACATTCTAGGGTTCTCGAACTGACGATCCAGCTGGAGTCTGACACGTTTTCTATCATAACGATATGGTTAATTTCTGTGCATCTTTCTTCGTTTTTTAAATACCTGGAATAAACTACTCTATGATATTAGACAAGTAAACAAATCATCAGTACTATGATTTCCATAGTTATACAATCGCAGGCTACATTAGTTAAAGGTACGCAGATAAGAATAACTGACCTGGAGGCACGAGACACGTGCACTGCGGCACCAGCAGCTCGTTAAGGCGGATCTTATCCTTGTGCAGCTTCTCTTCGTCGCACCGCAGGCGCTCATCCAGATTCGGGGATGCGCCCCCAGCGTCGCTACTCGGGGCAGCGAGGGGGCTCTCCTCAGCGCCTCCACTGGAAGGTGTAGCTTCAGTCGGTCCGAATGTAGCTTCATGTGGTGCATATGTAGCTGCAGTTGACACCGATGTAGCCGCAACCGACGGGGATGCTGCCTCAGTTGGGTCAGGTTTGACTTCTGCTGGGGCCGATGTAGTCTCGTCTGGGTCTGATGTAGCCTCCACAGGTTCAGATTTCGCCTCAGCTGTGTCAGACGTAGCCTCAGCCAAGTTAGATGACGATTCAGCTAGCATGGATGTAGCTTCAGATGGCACAGATATAGCCTCAGCTTGCTCGAATGTAGACTCAGGTGGCACTGACGTAACTTCGGCTGACACAGATGTAACTTCGGCTGGCTCAGATGTAACTTCGACTGGCTCAGATGTAACTTCGGCTGGCACAGATGTAATTTCGGCTGACACAGATGTAACTTCGGTTGGTACAGATGTAACTTCGGACGACACAGATGTAGCCTCAGCTGTCACGGTTGCAGCGTCTGCTGGTTCTGAGGGTTCTTTTTTAATAGCGTCGGCCGTGAGGTCACAGCTGTTCATATCCGGAATCTCGGCCATGAGCTTTGGGCTGAGCTTTGAACCACATGAATTGCTGTGGTCATCATCCGTAGTTTGATTTTGATCATCTCTGTGATCTTGCTCTTCTTTCTTTATCTGGGTGGTGTTTGTATTGCAGGATACATCTACTTTCATCTCAGTAGATTGCTCGCCAGATTCTTTCTTGATGACACATTCTTCCTTCAACAACTCTTTTTTTATTATGTCTTCGTCGGCAGGTTCTTGTTTAAGGAGCGATTCATGCAAAGGTGAGAGAGCTTGACACGAGCCTGGGACAGAGCGAAGGCTGCACGCTTCGTCAGACGACTTCACAAACGCAGCCTCGGCTTCAGGTACTTCAGCCGGACTTTCTATGGATGCATTGGAATTACATTGTTGAGGGCTACTGGAAGCGGCATAAGTTTGTAAAGATGGAAGTTGCGCACTTTCGCTCATAGGGACAACTTGTTCAGGTTTCTCAGAAGGTTCGTCGAAATGTTCAGTGGTTGTTTCTGCTGCAGGAGGAGTACTAATTGACGCGGAAATGCCTTTCTCGTCCGTGACAGGGTTCCTCATAACGCCATCAACTGAAGGGAAGTCCACTGCGTCCGCGTCACCTTCCGATGGCCGGAGAACCTCATCTCTAAAGCCTCCGTCATCTGACGACACGTCTTCTGATTTGGCATCTGTAGGTGTTGGCAATCGGGGAATTTCGTTGAACCTTGTATCAATATCAGGGCATTCTTTATCATTCATTTCATCGAAGGCTTCTGAAACTTTTTGGAGATGGCAATCGATGTTGGTATCGAGGTCGGTAGGTACATTTCTGAGTTCGCAATCAAGTCCACATTTCGGTAGAGTTTTATACTCGTCATCATCTTCGCCTTCGTCAGCAGGTCCAGAAGAATCACCAAGGACATTGCTGTCGCTGTCAGTGGTTACACTGCTACTGCCTATACCACTTTCACTAGTGTCCCCTCCACTACAACTTCCCCGCAACTTGTTCGAGTCATCGAGACATACGTCTGAACAATCAATCCCATCAGCATGATCTTCTGAAGATTGACAGGCGTCAGAGCAATCTATTCTATCAGCTTGGTCTTCTGAAGATTGACACGCGTCGGAGCAATCCATTCCATCAGCTTGGTCTTCCGAAGATTGACACGCGTCGGAGCAATCCATCCTATCTGCATGATCTTCCGATGATCGACTGTTCATGACATCCTCACTGATGCTAAAACAAGGTCCAGAAGGTTCCATAGTTTTACATTCTGCTGAAATTCTTGCCGTTCCCTCTTGATCTGCATTCGAAAAAACTTGACTGTTGCCGCGATGAAACAGATCGTGAGGACTTGCTGGGGGAAGATTCGAAGTGGGGGAAGTTTCCTCCTTAGAGTCGCTGAACTGACTCAGCTGGTTACATGCATCGTCAGGATTTGGAGTAGCTACCTGAGACGAACCGTGAGGCGAGTGTTCATTTTTAAAGTTATCAGAATCAGAACAATAACTAGAATAAGAATTGGTTCCCCTAGGCAAACTCAAGAAAGAACTAGAAGTGGTGATGCAGCTGAAATTGCCGGCACACGATTCACTAACAGTACTTGCAACACTGCTGTAACTTTCGAATCTACCTTCGCTATTGTTACATTCGGATGAATATATACGATTATTATTATCGTTACTGCAGTAACTGCCGGACGTGCCTTGCTGCAGCTCGCATGGGTTGTCAGTCGCCGCCAAGCTTGCAGACGCAGAGGAGCAGCTAACAGAAGTAATGGCATTAAAACTTGAAACGCTATTACTGCCCGAAAAACTTGATGTGGTCGTACAACTACCGTATGAACTTGAACCAATACTACCGCCATAACTTGCTATTGGGTAGTTATTGTAATTGCCTGACACACTGTAACTAGAGGTAGCGGAACTGTAACTTCTTGCAACGCTGTCACTCATGTCGTACTTAGGAGTTAGTGACGATTCCCGAGAGCCTCTCCTAATATCTGGTAACTCGTGGGACATGTCAGACCCGAACATAGTTTCCATCTTCGCTAACGTATCGATGGGCTTTTCTTGTACCTCACTCTTAACACTATCTAAAAATTGGGGACCTAAGTTGCGCTCAGCTATATTCACATCGCTAGGCAGTCTTCGACAGTATTCTAGTTTCATCTCACCGCCGTTGCAAGCGTTCAGATGATGATGGCTGTCCATGTCGATGCTTTTACGGTCGTCGGACATAATCGATGGGTGCTTGATAACCTCGTCTCTCGTCTCCATCTTAAATTGCATCATGTCATCTTTGTAGCATCTCTCGATGCCAAGAGGCTTTGTCTCCATCAACATGGAATCAGGAAACTGGGCTCTTGGAGGCATCATCTGTTGCTGCGATTGCAACTGTCGCTGTCTGAAAAGCTGTTGCTGTTGTTGATGGAAATGCATCTGATGTTGGTGAAACATTTGCTGATGTTGATAGCGTTGATCATAAGTCATGTCCATGTGGTGTTGCCCCTGCATGCTCCTGTAGCCGAAGCCAGGGGACTGCATGCGTGGATATTGCTGTTGATGGAACGCCATCCGCTGGCTGGGGAAAGGGGGACAGCGGTCGCTGAAGTGTTGCTGAGGGTGAGGATACTGCCAATGGAAGTTAGGCCCAGGGGGTCCGGGGGGCATCATAGCACCGGGCACGCCAGCATGAGGTCTAAACTTGGGGTGTGGCATGAGGGGCATGGTGCTACAGGCTGGGGACTGACTTAAACACGTGGTGGTGGAGGTGACCACAGTGTTGGGGGGGCCGAACACGGGCTGTGGCAGGGATACCGGCGGTGGGGCGGGCTGGGCTTTGGGTTTACGGGAGCGGGACTTGCGTTTGGGGGCGGCAGGAGGGGGCGGAGGAGTGGGCTTTTCAGTGGGAAGAGTCTGTTGTTGGGAGAGCGATGGTTGCAGCACGGGCTGTTGATTCTGTGAAAGTTGTTGTTGTTGTTGTTGCTGCTGCTGCTGCTGGAGCCTAGCTTTCTGGTAGTTTTCCAGGTGTTGTTGAACCGCCGAATTGGTACACGAGCTCTGATCTAGCTGCTGCATAGGAGTCCGAGCTGAAAAATTGGACATCATCGAATTTCTAGGATTTGATAGTGGCTGCTCAGCTGATTCCTGCTGCTGCTGCTGCATGCGTTGTGTCTGTTGCTGCACAGATGACGGCACGTCCGGTGTTTGTAAATTATCAGCATTGCACAGCTGTTTCTGGGGTGAACATGATGTTGAAAGTTGCTGTTGTTGTCGTTGGCAAGGCTGTGATTGTTGCTGAGATTCATGTTGTTGTTGCCGTTGGCAAGGCTGTGCTTGTTGCTGAGACGTATCATGCTGTTGCTGTTGTTGTGATTGCGAGTTTGGCCAGAGTTTTTCAAATTGTGAAACTTTGGCATCGTGTTCTTGCTGTATTTGTAGTTGCTTTTGTTGCCATTGAAGTTGTTGTTGCTGTTGGAATTGCTTATGTAGCTGATGTCGTCTCTCGTAATCTTGCTGAGGATTGCTGTACATCAGAGACGACTGAGGCAGCTGTTGTTGACAGTGCTGCTGCTGCTGTGGTGGCATCTGCTGCTGATTATAATGCGGTTGATGGCACTGAAGCTGCTGTTGGCAGGACTGTTGATACTGTTGGTGCTGCTGAATCTGTTGTGTCGCTGGAATGTTTTCGCGTCCTGTTCTGTCAGCCCCAAGCCCTGGGGTTCCATCAGCCCCGAGCCCCGAGTTTCTATCAGCGCCAAGCCCTGGGGTTCTTTCAGACATTTGTTGCAGCGTGGGGAAGGCAGGGTCAGGAGGCCCCTCGGAATGTGTTAATGCACCGTCACCACCCGCACCCCCAACAGGAGTGGCGGGGGTGGTGGTAGGTACCCCAGAACCACCAAAAGGTGATGAAGGGACCACCTGGGTGCCGTGGGTGTCGAGGGGGTGCCTGGAGGAGGGTTGCTGGCCTCCGTCAGCACACGCACGTCTGTCCGTACTGGGACTGGTGCTGCTCCTGGCCCTGCCACGCCGAAAATCCGAGCTGCTGGTGTCGGGCGGCGTTCCTTCGGTGCCTCCGTCGGGAGGCGCTCTCGAGGGTGGGTCGCTGCTGCATTCTGAGGTCGCGGTGGTGTGGAGGGCCAGGGAAGTGGTGGTGGATACGCACGAGGAGGAGGAGGATGTGGACGAGGATGTGGGATGTTGGACTACAGAGTCCGCGACGCTCTCTGTAGTCCTAAAGGCTAAAAAATTCTGCTGCTGTTGTTGTTGCTGTTGCTGCTGTTGTTGCATGGCCGCTGTGTCGTGCAACATGGCTGAGGTGTCGTCCGTCGTGGCCACCGTGGACACGACGCTACCCGAGAAACGGACCTCCCCCAGCGAGGAGGGGGATGTGGGGTGAGACGAGCAGCCTTCTATCTCCCCTCCGCCTGAGGCTTGCTGCTGTCGAGACATGAGCATGTTCTTGAGACGAGACTGAACTCCTGGGGAAGAAGAAGGGGGCGACGTGAGAGACGACCCCCCGTTGCTGAGAGCTTGTTCTTGTTGCTGTTGTTGTTGCTGCTGTTGTTGTTGTTGTTGCTGATGTTGCTGTTGCTGCTGATGTTGCTGTTGTTGTTGGGACTGCAGTGACCCATGCTGCATATGTTGGTGCTGCATGTGCTGCTGCTGCTGCTGCTGCATCTGCTGCATGTGCTGCTGGTGGTACTCAGCAGGCTGGTAGGAAGCCGTCAGGGGAGTCGAGCTCCCCGTACCCCCGTTTCCCGGGGCGGCGGCGTGGGGAGGCATGAAGGCTGAGGAAGCCGAGCTGTACGAGGGGTTGGTGTGGGGAGAGAAGTGCCCCTGGGGGACGTATGGGGAAGCTGCCGAGCTGTCGGGACCCACAAACTGATGGGCGCTGTAGCCGTTGCTGTATTGGGCACCACCCGATGAGAAGATGGGCTGTGGGTACTGATGGTGGGGCAGGTGAGGAGTGGCACCCATGCTTGGGGGGTGGAATGCCCCCCATTGTCCTGGCTGAGGCTGAGAGGGATCAGCGGGCCACACTGAGGATGGGGGATACCGTCCATCCCCACGCATGAAAGCTGGGGATGGTTGGTGCGGGGTTAGAGTGTCTGGGGCCATCGCCCCCTGTTCACTGGGGTCCCCAGCGCCGGGGAAGAAGGGGAGCATTCCCCCCATGGCAGCTGCTCGACGGTCCATCTTGTCTCCACGGGGTGGCTGCAAGCAAGAAAGAAACAAAGTCAGAGACCGCACACCTCTTAGCTTAAATAATTAACAATGATGGGTGAGAATAAGGAAGCATACAGACGTACAATTTATAATAAAATAATTAAGGTAGAATTTATTATACAATAACTGAGGAAAGAAGTGACCTGCCCCGGCAGCGCACAAAGGCAAAATGACGGGAGTTGAGACAACAGGGCGATGACAAGGGCAATACAAGGAGGACAACAATACAAGGAGGACAACAATACAAGGAGGACAACAATACAAGGAGGACAACAATACATGGAGGACAACAATTCAAGGAGAACAACTATACTAGGAGGACAACTATACTAGGAGGACAACTATACAAGGACAACAATACCTGGAGGACAACAATACAAGGAGGACAACAATACAAGGAGGACAACAATACAAGGAGGACAACAATACAAGGAGGACAACAATACAAGGAGGACAACAATACATGGAGGACAACAATTCAAGGAGAACAACTATACTAGGAGGACAACTATACTAGGAGGACAACTATACAAGGACAACAATACCTGGAGGACAACAATACAAGGAGGACAACAATACAAGGAGGACAACAACACAAGGAGGACAACAATACAAAGAGGACAACAATACAAGGAGGATAACAATACAAGGAGGACAATATTACAAGGAGGATAACAATACAAGGAGGACAATATTACAAGGAGGATAACAATACAAGGAGGACAACAATACAAGGAGGGCAACAATACATGGATGACAACAATACAAGGAGGATAACAATACAAGGACAACTATACTAGGAGGACAACAATACAAGGACAACAATACCTGGAGGACAACAATACAAGGAGGAATACAAGGAGGACAACTATACAAGGAGGACAACAATACAAGGAGGACAACTATACAAGGACAACAATACCTGGAGGACAACAACACAAGGAGGATAACAATACAAGGAGGATAACAATACAAGGAGGACAACAACACAAGGAGGATAACATTACAAGGAGGATAACAACACAAGGAGGACAACAACACAAGGAGGATAACAACACAAGGAGGACAACAATACAAGGAGGACAACAACGAGCGTCGTCGCGGCCGCCGCTGAGAGCGCGAGCCGCAGTCACGCCGCCGCTCTCTGCTACGCGTTAAAGGTGAGCCCTGACACGTCGAACCCTAACCCTGAACCCTCGTCCTGTGAAACCTTGTCCTGTGAACCCTAACCCTGAACCATCATCCAGTTAACCCTAACCTTTCACCCTTATCTTATGACCCTAAACCCTTGTCCTGTGAATCTTTACCCTGAACCCTCGTCCTGTGAACCCTAACCCTGAACCCTTGTCCTGTGAACCCTGACCCTGAACCATCATCCAGTTAACCCTAACCTTTCACCCTTATCTTATGACCCTAACCCTAAACCCTTGTCCTGTGAATCTTAACCCTGAACCCTCGTCCTGTAAACCCTAACCATGATCCATCATCAAGTTACCCCTAACCTTTCACCCTTATTTTATGAACCCTCGTCCTGTGAACCCTAACCCGGGACCCTCATCCTGTGAACCCTAACCTTGAACCCTCGTCCTGTGAACCCTAACCCTGGACCCTCATCATGTGAACCCTAACCCTAAACCCTCCAGTTGAACCCTAACCCTGGACCCTCATCCCGTGAACGCTGGCATCGCACTACCAACCAGCAACTGAAGCTTCATCCTAATAAATTATCTTGGTCAAGCCGAACTCTGATCTGTTGACCTACAGGAACTTTGGTAACGTGGGTAACTCCGTCATCAACGTGAGCGGTACGAGTAACGTACGAGATACGATTAACGTACGAGATACGAGCAACGTACGAGGTACGAGTAACGTATGAGGTACGGGCAACGTACGAGGTACGAGTAACGCACGAGGTACGAAAGAAGCACAAAGCGCAGGTACGAGAAAGGAAAACGCCAGCCTAGCAGCTGGCGAAGCTGCGTGATCTTCCTGGCTGTGTGAAGACCGTGTGTGCGGTGCCGTGGCGTGGACACGCACGACGATGGTGCGCCACACACAGCACCATGAGCACCACACGCAGCACCATCAGCAGCACCATCAGCAGCACCACACACAGCACCATGAGCAGCACCACACGCAACACCATCAGCAGCACAACACGCAGCAATTCCCTAGGCCGCTCCTGATCGATGGCCTCACCGAAATCAATGCCGCTGCTGCTGTCATTATTGCTGCCTTCACTGCTGCTGCTGTCACTATTACTGCCATTACTGCTGCTGTCGCTGCTGCCATTACTGCTGCTGTCGCTGCTACTGCTGCCATTACTGCTGCCGTCGCTGCTGCTGCTGCCATTACTGCTGCCGTCGCTGCTACTGCTGCCATTACTGCTGCCGTCGCTGCTANCTACTTGGAAATAAAAATTTTCGAGATTCGCCCAGCCGCTCACTTAATATTCTCCCCGCCGCTGAAAATATCCACGTTTTCCATTTCTAAAAACATTGAAGGTGCAATCTTGCCTGCACTAATTCCTCGTCTGCGACCACGTTCCTCGGCCGTCGTATATTTTGTGGCCTAATTATGAACTGAAAGGACCGGCCAGCAAGGAGAAGGTTCGGTCCAGGCAACAGACTAAATTTATGTCTTTCTCATACAAGAGAGCGTAAATTTACAGCTCATGACCTCGCCAACATTAATCCTCAATTGCAGCGGGTACTGTATTTTTTCAATCCCGGCCATTATGTTCTTATAATTAGCATAAATTAAAAATGGTGAGGCACTGCAAAATTCTTTGCAGCGGTTAATTATGAATTTCAAACATGAATTTTATTAATATATTGATCAATTTGCAATAAATGTTTCCATTTGAAAATTAGATTAATTCCATTTAAAATGGGAATTACAAAATTCAGACTTGATTTAACATATCATAAACCCAAAGTGGATGCAAGACAAAAACTCAGCTCGAAAATTCAACGAATTAATCATGATAAAGAAAGATGTTAATTTGAGAGCTTACACGATTCAATAGAATTTCACGAGGAAAGGTCTAATAATGGCAAAATTTAATTAAATGTAGACTGAAGAAATCTCATTAGAATTTAATAATAATGTTACGAAATTAACCTCAGTCAACAAATGAAATTTATTCATTTCAGAAAAACCGTTTTCAAGCATCGCTCTATGAACTAATTATGAAATCATTGACGCATATAGTGTTTACAGAAATTTAACTAAAAAATTAATCAAAGAACACGACCTCCAATTGATCCTGTTTTAAGATGGACCGACGTTGCATTTGGAGAAATTAATTTAATTATGAGCTTTAAAATTCTCACTATTTTATTTCTAAACTGCTGGGAAAATATCTGCTGCATTAATAAGACTTCAGTTAATAGGAATGTCTAACGAAAGTCGCTATTTTATCAACAAAATTGTTACTAAAAATTTCACCACCGTAAATAACTTTTTTATGAGTTGCTATTAAGCATTCCAAACCATTGAATCCTAACAAAATCAAGCACTTAATTTAGGAACCGAAAATTATCTGCCCGCCCTCTGTCGATATAATTTCAATCGATGGAATTATATTAGCCCTGTCTCTTATACACATCTAGATGTGTATAAGAGACACCCCCTACCTCATGCCACACCCCCCGACCCCTACTCGCTCTCTGCAACATACGACGTCGTTATTACGCAGCACAATTAATGCTGTGTGGCATGACGTGCTGTGTGGCATGACGTGCTGTGTGGCATGACGTGCTGTGTGGCATGACGTGCTGTGTGGCATGACGTGCTGCGTGGCATGACGTGCTGCGTGGCATGACGTGCTGAGTGGCATGGCATGCTGAGTGGCATGACGTGCAGTGTGGCATGACGTGCTGTGTGGCATGGCATGCTGAGTGGCATAACGTGCTGTGTGGCATGACGTGCTGTGTAGCATGGCATGCTGAGTGGCATGACGTGCTGTGTGGCATGACGTGCTGTGAGGCATGACATGCTGTGTGGCATGACATGCTGTGTGGCATGACATGCTGTGTGGCATGACGTGCAGTGAGGCGGCATGCTGAGTGGCATGACGTGCTGTGTGGCATGACGTGCTGTGTGGCATGACATACTGTGTGGCATGGCATGCTGAGTGGCATGACGTGCTGCGTGGCATGACATGCTGTGTGGCATGGCATGCTGAGTGGCATGACGTGCTGCGTGGCATGACGTGCTGTGTGGCATGACATGCTGTGTGGCATGACGTGCTGTGAGGCGGCATGCTGAGTGGCATGACGTGCTGTGTGGCATGACGTGCTGCGTGGCATGACGTGCTGCGTGGCATGACGTGCTGCGTGGCATGACATGCTGCGTGGCATGACGTGCTGCGTGGCATGACGTGCTGCGTGGCATGGCGTGCTGCGTGGCATGGCGTGCTGCGTGGCATGACGTGCTGCGTGGCATGACGTGCTGCGTGGCATGGCGTGCTGCGTGGCATGGCGTGCTGCGTGGCATGACGTGCTGCGTGGCATGAC